CACGCCCGCCCCCGCCCCCGATTGGCCGGCGGGCTTCGCGGCCCGCCTCCGCCGCTCTCGAATTGGGCGCCCCCTCGGGCGACCCCGGATTCCGAATGGCTACGGAGGGCGCCCTCGACCTCGCGCGGGATTGGCCGAGGGCTCGCGCTCGCACTTTTTCTCGGCCTCTCACTGGCTGCTGGAGGAGAACTTTCTCTCTCGACTTCTGACTGGTGACTTTCTCCCGCACCGGCCGCGGGCCGGGATTGGCTGCTGCCTCCCGAAGCCCGGGCTCTCGTGCTGCTGATTGGTCCAGAGCCGCGCGCTCCCCCCACCAGAGCCTCCGTAGAACGTGGCAGAGGTCGGAGTCCCCGGCTGCGGGGCGGGGCTGCGCCTGCGTCTCCCAAACCCTTCGTGTTGGATTCTGACTGGGCCGCGTACCCGTAGTTGGCACCGCCCCTGGCTCTTCAGACCGGAAGCCGATTTAAGCCACTTCCGGCGCGCGTGAGGCCCGTGCGGCGCTCGCCCAGCGTCCAGTAGTGCCGGGCCTGGGAGGGGGAGGGCGTGGGGGAGGGGCGGGGTGGGGGCAGGATGGCGTGCAGCGGCGGCGTTGCTGGGAGAGTGGGGGACAGCGGGGATGGGGCTCACTAGGGACCAGGACCGGCACGTAGGGGTGCCGCCCGCCGGCAGTGACGGGGGAGATTCTGGGGTGGGGGCGTCCAAGGGTGGGAAGAGCCCGGGACTAGGGCGCCAGCGGGTGCTGGGGGGCAGGCAGGTCCCAGGTTTGGGGTATGGCGCTGGAGGGGTGTCGCCAGAGGTTGGGGGGACTGCGGGTGAGGGCAGGGGGTGGGCCCCGTGGGTCAGGCGGCTGGGGGTGCTAACAGGGCGTGAGGGCTGGAGACCGGGGCCAGGACAGTGGGGGCCGTGGGGCCGAGGGCCAGGCCCCGTGGACGTGCGTGGAGGGCACCCCGCGCCATTAAAGCGCCTCCTGTCTGTTTGTTGAATATTTTTCAACGTGACTTGTGGGAAACTTGGAAGGAGCTGCGGCCTGGGCAGCGCTGGCCGCTGCCCACCGCTCGCCCGCGGCTCTTCGCTGCGGGGCGCCGCCTGGGCTGGACGCCACCTCCCAGCTGCTTCAGACTCGGCCGTGGGTAATGGCAGGAAAACGGAGGCTCCCGAGCGCACTGCGGAGCTGGAGGGGTCGGGGCTGCAGTCTGGGGGCCCAAGGCCTGCTGGTGTTTGGCCACTGCCCCTCACAGGGCCCCACGGGCGCCCCCAAACAGCTGTGCCCTCTGCCCTGGGGGTACCTGGCCACCGCCTACTGCCCCTTGCTCCCCTCCGGGCCTGACCTGCGGTCAGGGCAGACGTTGGGGCAGGAGGGGCCTCGTGGGCCAACGACTTTGGGATTGCAGTGACCACAGGGTGGGGGTTGGGAAGGCTGTCCATGATGGCAAGGGCTGCACCCCAGTGGGGGTGCAGTGACTAGCCCCAAGTGGGAGAGGGTGGGAGCTGGGAGCCCACACAGCCGGCCCCACCCTGCTCCCTGCAGTCATCCTCAGCAGCCTCGCAGGCAGTCCCGGCCCCCCATGCCTAGGCGACCCCCCACGTGGGTGAGTCGCGCTGGCAGCCCTGGGACCTGGGCCTGGGCCTGGCTCTGACCCTGGCCCCCGGCGGCACGCAGAGGGCGGCCGTGCCTGCTCCGGGCGCCTGTCTGGTGTGGGGGCTTCGAAGATGGGTCCCCAGCAGCTCGGAGGAGCATGGTCTGGTTGGGGTGGCCTGACACCCGTCTCCAAGGGCTGGGGGGTGGTCAGTCACCATGAGGTACGGCCCTGGCTGCAGAAGGGCCGGCTGGGCAGGGGTGCCCAAGGCCCCCAGGAAGGGCCCACTGATGTCCTCCTGGCAGCAGAAGGGCTGGTCTGGGGTGACTGAGGGAGGCCCCTGGAAGGGAGGGTGGGCCCAGTGAGGCGGGCTGGGCTGGGCTGGGCAGGTCTGCAGCTGGCCGGGCGGGGCCGGAGGGCCAGGTCAGACTTGGGACCTGAGAGACACGTCAGGCAGGCCCCTAGGTGCTGCCTTGGCTGCATTCTGGGAGGAGCTGGCACAAAGTCCTGGCTGCCGCCCGCACGGCTGGCACCAGGCCGAGTTCACACGCCTGGGGCTGGCACAGCCCAGTGTAGCCCACAGGCCCTGGCCACAGGCCCGAGGGCACGGGGTAGCCCACTTGCCAGGCCCGGCAGCCGTCCCTGGCCGAGGCGTGGGGAGCTGGGGCACACCTGCTCTGGAGACCAGGGAGACCCATGGGGCGCACAGGGAGGCCCCGCCCCACAGCCTGACTAGCGAGCCCCGGGGTCCCCAGGAGCCTTCCTGCCAGGAGACCTAGTGCTTCTCCAGCGTGGGCGTCGCCAGCCCTCACGGGGCCGAGGACCTGGGAGTCCAGCAGAGTGGGGCTGGCGGGCGCCCTCCGACTGAGGCGTGCTCTCTGCAGCTGGCCACTTCCCCTTGCGGCTCAGCTCCAGGGTGCAGGCCACGGCTGATGGCCAGGACATTTCTTGCCTGGCCACCAGATGGCAGTTCTTGCAGAGGGCCCCGACTCCCCCCAACTTCCTCCTAGGCCTCCACCACCCCGAAGGGCGGGTGGTGGCTCAGCGTGGGGGAGACTGGAGGGGGAGGGGGACGCCCACCCCCAGCCGTCCCCAGATGAGCCAGGGACGCAGACGCCGTTGGGGGACTTTATTCCCGGTCAGAAAAGGAGAAGCAGGGCCAGGCGCCCGCGGATGCGCCTGACTGGGGCGGGGGCAGGCACAAGGAGGGGCTGGACTCCTCGCTGGGTCCGGGCAGGCGGCAGCGCCGGGCGCACAGGTGGCGCGGGAACACTGACGGGCCGAGGGCCCTGGCCGGGGGAGGCCCGAGCGCAGCCCTCTCGGGTGGGCCTGGAGGCAACTGGAGTTTTGGCAACTTGGTCTCCCCAGCTCCGGGAGCGCCCTGGCCGGCCGGGCGGGCAGGCGCCGCCTTTCCCGGGCCGCGGGCGGGACGGGACCACATGCTCATGCAGACGCGGTCGGGGGCGGCGAGGCCCCAGCTCGAGCTCCGCATGTTAAGGCATCACGGTTACAGTGACAGGACACGGCGGCCGCCGGGAGGGTGCTGGGTGCTGGGCCGCGTCCCCGCCCCTTCCCGCAACGAGGGGGACACGGAGGGGGCCACCCCAAGGCTCAGAACAGCCCGAGCCCCAGGGGCAGTGCCACGCCCACTCCCTGGAGAAACGGGGTGGCGGGTCGGGACGGGGAGGGCTCACGGAGACTGGGGAGCCGGGCCCGGGCCCCTGCCCCACAGCGCGGGCGGAAGCAGCAATGAGACACGAGACCACCGAGGAGGCTGGGGCCTGCGGGCGGGGGAGGGCGAGGTGGAGGGGCCGCCGCTGGCCGGGGGCAGGCCGGGCAGGAGGCGGCGGCCCTGTCAGCGCTTTGGTCTGGGGGGGGGGGGGGGGCACTTCCGTCCGGCCGCCGCTCCGCGGGCTCAGTCCTTCCACTCCTTCTTGATGGTGAGGTTCCACTCCCAGGACAAGTGGTCGGTCTTGTCGTCGTCTGTGAAGCTGGACTTGATGTTGTAGCTGCCCCGGGCCAGCATGCCCTTGGGGGCCTCCTCCATGGGCGTCAGGAACTCGTATTCCTCCGCCCGGGGCCCGTAGCTGCCCACCATGTAGTCCGTCTTGTCGACTGCGGGCGGGGTAGGGCCGGTCAGCCAGGGCATGGGCATGGCGCAGCCCCGCCCCGCCCGGCCCTCCCGCGCCCCGCCCCGCCCCGCGCACTCACTCTTGATGCCTTTCCGGTACGTGTGCTGCATGTACTTCATGCCGGACACGATCTCCCGGTTCACCTGCAGGCGCCAGGAGAGCTCAGCCGAGTCCGGCCCCCGGCGGGCCACTGCCCGCCGCCCGCCCGCCGCCCGCCCGCCGCTCACCCGGAAACAGATCTTTATCCGGTACTCCACGCCCTCCTTGAGCACGAAGGACTGCTTCTTGAAGCTCTCCAGGTCGCCTGTGTGCAGGGGCCAGGCTCGCAGGCGGCCAGGCTCTCCCGGCCCGCCCGCCAGGGCCTCCCCCGCCCGCTCCCCACACGAGAGCGCAGGCTCACGAGGGTCCCCCAGGCCAGGTTCTCAGGGCCACTCACCCGTCAGGTCCAGCTCCAGGGGGCCCGGCGCAGAGCTGCACACCAGGGTCAGGCGGGTCACCACGACATTGGGGACGCTGGGGTCTGCGGAGAAAACCGCCGCCTAGCGCCTTGCGTCCCCTGCCCGCCCGCGCCCAGAGGTGCCGCCCGCGCGCGCTCACCGGCGGCGACGGCCACGCGGCCCAGGAGCGCCTCCTTGTACTTGCGCAGGCTCTCGTCGTCCTTGTCCAGCTCCTGGATCTCCTGGAGGCTCTTCTGGGCCGGGGGCTTGTAGTTGACCGAGTGCTCGTCGTCCTGGTTCTCGGCAGCGATCTGCGCCAGCTGCTCGGCGGTGGGCTCCTGCTCAGCCATGCTCGCCTCTAGCGGGTCTGGGCACCTGCAGGGGGGCGTTCCGCTTTGCAAGGGGCCAAGAGGATGCACTGCCGCAGGGGGTGGGCCCAGGCTCCCTGGTCTGCAGGGACGCCCAGCCTGCACCCCTGAGGGCCGGCCACACCTCCCTGTCCCTGCAGCCTCAACTCCTGCTGCTGCTCATGAGCTGCCCAGGCCCTGACCCCAAGAGAGCCTTCCTGCGGGTGCCCTGAGCAGCCGCGGAGTCCTGTCCACTGGACACAGCCCGTGGCAAGCACTGAAGGCCACTCCAGTCCCACAGGTCGGTGCTGAAAAGCGGGTGGTTGGGCAGC